GTCTCATAATCGAGATGTAAACACTTTCCTATACCAAAAATGCTGTTTTCTTTTTCTTCACTTTCTGCTTGTTTGATTCAGTAAAAAACAAATGAGCCCATCCTCTGCTGTGTACCATACAAGGTATTGAGAGGGAGCTAAGCATGTTTCTTTGCTATACGGTCTATATTATATATATTCATCACTGCTTGGGGTGGAATGTGCGTATCTCCACAGGGTTATTTGTAGAAGAAATGTCCGTTTAATGAACTATAATACTGACCCAGCCTCAGCAACTCCACAAGTGTGATTTCTATAGATTAAGTGAATTATTTATTTCTAGTCTGACTTTTATTGAGAGAACTTGAATTTTCCATGAAATTAAAAGCAAGTGTTACTTTTGTTTACCCTGAACAATTTTTATCTTTTATTCTGATAACTGCATTAAATTTTCTTTTCGTCTTTGCCAATATAATAGCTCCTAAAGTTTCCATGTGCCTCAAGCAAATATCTAGCCCATCATAGCATCTATTTTGATAGAATTTTACTATTTGTCTTTTATGCTGTTACCTTGTGATTCATTCAAATGTTTGTTTAATTTATCTATTATTGAATATCTTTAATGTTTTATGAATACAGTAGTGGTTAGAAAATGTGCTTTTTAAAATACATTCGCTCCATCTGGGGGACAAGAAGGAACATTCCAGCTGGGTATAGAATTAAGAAATTCATACCACAGAGTGTTTGCTGGGTGTACTCACTGAATCATGATCCCATATCAGCTGTGTATTTGTCCCCCCTTGGCTGTGTACTAACACTTCGGGTACCTTTCTAGCCCCTCTGAGCCTTACTTTTCTCATATGTAAAGTTGGCATCCTGTTAGGACATATAAGTGTCCGGCACAAGGCTGGTCACACATTCGGGTTCATTTCATCTGAGAGGGAAGGAACAGTTAGGCATGTCCACCTCATGGCATTCAGGTCACATGTGGCCAGAGACAGCTAAAAGGTTTGCATAAAACTCTCAACTTACTTTAAAACATTTAATCCCAGCACTTGGGAGGCAGAGGCAAGAGGGTCTCTGTGAGTTGAGGCCAGCCTGGTGTACTTATCGAGTTTTAGGACAGCCAACCCTGTTTGGAACAAAACTCAGTATTTTTTTTTCAAGTCAATTCTGTAGGTCTCAAGCACGGACTTCGTAGACGTCAGTGACTGTGCCGTGTTGCAGTGTCAAAAGGTTGGACACCCCTTCTAGGCACAGGAAGTAATAGGATCAACCCCATGGCTGACATCAAAGACTACAGTGTCTGGCATAGAATGAATGGTGGACAGGCACACACCAGGTGCAGGCTACACAAAAAGTTCTAGCAAGTACCATTGGGATGCTTTGAGACAGGAGCATGGACTGAATGTGGAGTCAGAACATTTTCTTTTTCTAAAGGATTATTTTTTTGTGCTTAAAATATATGTGTGTGTGTGTGTGTGTGTGTGTGTGTGTGTGTGTGTGTGTGTGTACGTATGCATGCATGTGTGTGAGGAGGTCAGAGGGATGTCAGATACTCTGGAACTGGAGTTACAGACAGTTGTAAACGTCCAGATATCTGTTCTGGGAGTCCTCTGCAAGAACAGTATGTGCTCTTAAGACTAGCTAACTACCATTATCCAGAGAACCTTTTTAAGGTACTCTGTGAGGTAGGCTGCTGTAGGGAGGGGTATGGGCATCATTTGCCTGGTTTCTGGTAGCATAGTCTTGTGTTTCTCATACTCTGCCATGTGCATGAAAATTACCTGGGGACCTTGCGATAAACACAGTTGCCTTTGCCTTACTGGTGAGGTCCAGACTCTGTGTCTGAGATGCACCCTAAGAGGCTGGCTTTGAAGTGATCATGCCAAGCAGTTCAGATGGAGGCGGGTGGACTTTGAGATGAGATGCACTGGCCTGGTTATTGAGGAAACACTCAGGTGACTGGCAGGTCTGATGAAGCTTAGGGCAGAGAGGATGCACACAGATGGCTAAAAAGTGACATGTTTACCTGTTTGTGAATTGCCACAACGGACTTCCTTTTTGCGTTACATAAATGCATAGCAGTTTTTATAGATTTTTTTCCAAGCTAAAATATAATTAGAATTCGTTGGGTGGTCTTCTTTATTGAGTTTGGTGGACCTGATGATTTGTCCTCATCCTCTGGATCTAGCCAGCTAAGGGGAGGAAGATCTTGTTCAAAAGAGAGCAATAAAAGGGAGGAAACAGAGAGGAAGGCAGAGCAGTGTGAGGTCAGGAAATGAGAAAGATGGAAATGGGAAAGGATGGGAAAAGAGCAGTCAGATCTGATTGGGTAGGAATGTCTTTGTGACGGAACCCAGCCAGTATTTAACCTGTTTTGAAAAAGCTCGACTTCCAGCATTTTTAATTAGTGGCTTGCTCGCTTTTGAAATTGCCCAGTTGGGAATACTCAAGTTTTGATGTGTTTTATCTGCCTGCTAATTAGCAGGCTGCTGGGTTGACCATTTTTTCCTTTTATTCGGTGGACAGAAGATAGGCATAAAGGTCTCCTGAAACCATGCAGCTCCAGCTTGGGTTCAAATCCATAGCCACAGTGTATCGGGGGAAGAATTCTTAGTAAGTCATATTAAATTGCAGCCCATCTTTTCTCGAACTCCTTTTCTGTTTTCACTGGCCTGGGGTGACTGTGTCTCAGCATGGTCTGTACTTGGGGCAAGAGCTTTCTTGATTGAAAGGGCTGTCATGTGCCTTTGTAGGGTGCTTCTGACCTCTTTCCTAACCTGTGATAACGAAAACTGCCTGTGGAACTTGCCAATGCCTGTTGGTGGCAAAATTGCCCCCAATGGAGATTCTCTGGCAGAGTCACATGGTGCATTTTGCCCTCACCTATATTGTATGTTTAAAATCTCCCTCCTTTTTTTTGTAATTGAAAGATAGACAAGTCCAGGCACTATGAAGTCTATGACAGACAGAGAAAATCAAATCTAGTCCTTTCTTGCATGTTGGGCAGATTTAAGGGCAGGCTCTCCCATCAATCCAAGTTTTGGCTGGGAAAAGTCAGGTTGTACTAAATGTTTGAAAAACCTGTAAAACCTGCAGTGATTGAGAGCTTTTATTTTTGCACCCCCACTCCCTGAAAATATTTGTGTTTTATTTAAGAATTAAGAGAACCACACAGGATACAAAACTCACTCGTGTGAAAATCCCTGAGGGTTGCGAATGCCTTCTTCGTGTACTCCAGCTCAGTGTGTATAGGATAGGGCAGCATGCTGGGTCGTTAAACAGCAGGTTTGGGGAAAGTTTTACACCTTTTCCAGACTCGATGTGGTCTCCTGAGCTTGCTTTTCTGCGCCTTAAGCTTGCCGTGCACCGAGTCTAACTGTCCATTGGGGACATCTGCCTGTAGTTCCTTACCTTCTGGGGTACCAACCAAGAGGAACCGAGGAACTGTGGTTAAGGGAGAAAAAGAGGGATGGGGAAGACTGAGGGAGGGAGGGGGCATGGGGTCAGGAGACGAGGGCCACTGAGAGATAGATGCAAGGGGAAGATTCAGGTTTATTAGCAGTAAGTTAGTTGTTGCTATCCCGTCTCTTAAGATATCCTGTAACACCGTGTACTCCTCTGTACCCAAAAATAAGCCAATTAATTACACTGTGATTGCTTCTGCTGATAATAAACCGGCAGTGATGAAAGGAGCGACAGTAGGCCAGTAAGAGAATAAACAGTATCAGGGAGATGTTCGGAGAGTTAGTACATGGGGTTTCACGTCTCCTGGATCAGAGTTTCGCACCCTCCTCCGATTCTGTCAGGGGATGTTTGTGATGGCCGTCTGTTATCTACCAGGATCAAAAAATATACACAACAGGGAAACTTTTCATGCTTATAATGGGCCTTTCATCAAAATGTCAAAGCCATCCCCCAATATAGAGTGAGCCTTAGAACTTCATGGCTCTGCTGTCCTCAGGACTGTTGCTCACAACATCCATGAAGGAATGTTCCTTACTGTATTCAGCATTAGAACGGTGCAGGGAGAGAGTTCAGTGAATCCCAACTTCCTGGTTGCTGACTGGGGTCTCTTCAAGCATGACTTACCGAAATCAAATATTGCCTTATCATCTAATGTCAACTTTTGTTTCTACATATCAAATACCAGGATAATAATTTACTCTGTAGTAGAAGACCACACATCAATGATATTTGGGCAGCAGAAATTAGTCTTGAAAGATTAAAAAGAAAATAGGAAATAAAATTGGGTGGGTAGGGAAAGGGGGGGAATGGATCTAGAAAGAGTTGGGGTAAGGGTGAATATGATCAAATGCATTATATCAAGCTCTCAAAGCAATGATGAAGGTGATGATGATGGTGATGATGATGGTGATGATGATGATGATAGTTTAGGCTATATGGACCATTCTGGGTTTTTTTGTTTGTTTGTTTGTTTTGTGAGAAACAGAAGGTGTCTCCACAACCTTTAGAAAAGCCCAACTATCTCTTCACTGTGCTAGTGAAAGCAAAGCACCGAGTCCTTTTCATTTTGTAGTTTTGCTTGCACGTCTGTTGTCTGCTGTAATAAACTTGGCTAGAGAACAAACAGTGTCTAGTCATGTTCTGGCAGTGATGTTGAAAGTGTCAGTGTGGGTATTTACTTCAGCTTAACTTTCCCTCTGGATTTAAATTGTGTTCATGTACTTTTAAGTTTGTTTTGTTCAAAAGATTTTAATAAAACTTTAAGCGCCATTTCCTATCTCTCACGACGGAGGCTATCAAATGCTGTTGAGGATAGAAGCAATTTTTATGTGCATACCTCTGGTTCCTGAGGGTCCAGTTCACGTCTGCTGTGAATCTAAATTAGTTAATTTAAGTAGATGGGTCAGAAGCCACTGTCATCATGGTAGCCCTGCGCCTGGTTCTTAATTAAAGGCAACAGGAGATTAATTTGAAACATTAATTTAAAAGTGCATATACAAAACGAAAGAATTATTGCAAGAAAGCCTAAAGAACTTCTCTCTTGTCCCTAGATGTAGAAGACAGAAGTAGCTCAGGGTCCTGGGGGAATGGAGGCCATCCAAGCCCATCCAGGGTAAGTATATATCATCTTTTTTTCCCTGCAGGCAGACATGGCATGTATGTAAATTGACTAAGCTTCGCACATGCATCAGGCATGCATACGCACGAGTGCATACTTATGTGCCTACATGCACACACATACCCATGCACACGCACCTGCACAGATCTATATGTACAGTCAGTTTATTGAGGGCAGCTTTCTGGGCTTCTTTGATTTTATTGGTTACCACACCTGAGTTTATACCTGTTGAATTGGTGGTGCTAACCTGAAGAGAAATCTTTTAGCAACCACACAGCCCAACCTTTGCCAGCCAGTGATCAAGTGTGAGAGAAAGTCATTTGTTGCGTTCAGACCAAGCTTAAATAAATCCTAATTTATCAATCATGTATTGGTGTGACTAGACTCCTGAATAACACTCCATGGAGTTATAGCCTATTAGTATGATTTGCACAGCAGGTTCTGCATTAGTTTTACTTTGTGGCCATGCTACTGTTCCACCAGGCAGGCCATTGCATATGGTATCTTGACTGTATTTTTTTTTTTTTTTTCAGGTGCTCTAAGCCCACAGCAGGTTTCATAATACACATACAGTGTCTCCGGTTAGAAGTAGACTTAGCGCAGTAAAATGAACATCCCTCCTTCCTGCTTCTCTAGCTGCCGCATTCTTCTGGGAGGGGACATCTTACTGTAACTGTTCCCATCATTTTGCATTGGGGGAGGACTCTGCTCTGTCCCTGGAGGCAGAGGTGGTCCATCAAGCTGCCAAAAAGGCTATTTTAGCCAGTCATACTTAACACTTTGCACCTGTCCTTAGCACTGTGAGCCTCAAGCTGGTCTTCAGGGTGTAGCAGGATCTCTAAGCCTATGAGGAACTCTGTTGAGCCTTGGAGCAGCTGTCGAGCTTGACATTCTAATGCATTATATGGATGGGTTGAGGAAATCTTTCCTCCTCCTCATGTTACAGTCCACACTTGCACAAATAAATCCAATCCCTTGACAGCAAGTGGGGCTGACAGATTGCTCCTCTATTGTTCTGTTCATTTAGACTTTCTTTATTTCTTCTTATGTGATTCAGTACAACCCTGTAAATATTGAGCTAAATTCTCATAGTAAAAATACATTATTAACTTTATATTAACTTCTTACTATTAGTTTCCTACCAGCAGCCTACTGTTAAAACTTAAAATGTGTTACAGTGTGGATGTAGTCTAATATACAATGTCCTTTCAACTGCATTTTGACCAACAAAACCCATTTAGAATCTTCCTGGTTTACTTTTAAACTTGGATTCCAGAAACTGCAATTTTTATTGACATAAACAAGCCTGTGAGATGGCGCAGTGGGTCAAGGCGCTTACTGCTAAGCCTAGACAGCTCCACCCCTGCGACCTACGTGGTAGAGAGAGAACTGACTCCAGGTTGTCCTTTGACTTGCATATGCTGTGGCACACGTGTGTGACACTCCCACCCATGACACACATACCAAGTAAGTAAATAAGTATAATTAAAAAAGAAGAAAAAAAAAGAATGAATTGGTAGGGCTTGGGACATAGGTCAGTCAGCAAAGAGCTTATATATAATCATAAAGCCTAGGGTTGGATTCCTATAATGCATTGTTAAGGAAAAAAAATCCAAGGATAGTACTGTGCCACTTAAAATCCTAGCACTGGGGCTCACTGACAAGTTAGCCTACCCTAATCTGTGCTTTTTATGACTGAATTTGGCTCTGGCATCCACACGCATGTACCCCCCACACAAGTGAGTACACATGAACACATACACACACATGAATATATAAATATACACAAGACACATATTGGTGAATGATTTGAATGACTGCATTATAACTTATGTTTCCCAAATCCAGGGGCTTTCCCAAGATAGATGTTCGTAGACTCATATTAGGTGACCTTACTATGTCCCTTTTCCTCCCATCACCAAGTTCTGGAACTATCTTCCACACAAAGTGCTGTGCTGATAATTGAGTTCCAAAATGTGTTTGAAGTTTGTAGTGCACTATCTAGGATGAGGAAATTTCATAAATAATAATCAGCGTTATACAAGGCCTGGATGGGTCCTTAGTGTATGACATCTAGTTACAAATGAACATCCTAGCAGGATTAGATTCTAGCGTCATCCTGGTTATTTTTTTTTTTTTTTTTTTTGTAAAGGAAGAAAGGTGAGAGAGAACAGAGTTGCCTGTCCCAAGAGTCTCAGTCCTTTACACTGAAGTGATGTGGCTTTCCACTGTTCTCACAGCATCCATCTTTCATGTGTGGGCAGATTCTGCCCTTTGGCTAACATACCAAACTGATACCTCTGAGTAAATTTGACTTAGACTTTATGGACAGTTCAACCAGCTGAGCAGACGCTTCCCCCGCCCCGCTTACTGGTCACATCATGCTCTTTAATAGACTGAGATTTGAATCAAATAACACAGTTGGTTTTAACTCTTTCTTAGATGTTATTGAAATTCTCCATGGAATTGAAGTGACTGGAAAGCTTACAAACAGTGTATTATTTTTTAAATTCCCAAGATGAGGAGATCATTATTCTAGTGAAACATTTTTTCAAAAATGATTCCCCTTAAAATTGCTTTTGTGTGGCATATTTTGTTTACCTGCATACATACTGATTTATGTTGAAGCTTCAACCTTTATGCATTACTGGGTATGAGTGTGTGTATATGAAGATGGGGAAGGGCATATACATGTCACTGCCCAGATCTAGAGGTCAGAGGACAGCATTGTAGGGTTATTTTTTGTCCCACTTTGACATGGATTCTGGAGGTTGAACTCAGGTCTTCAGGTGGATACAGCGAGCACACCTCTTCTCTCTGAACTATCTGACAGGTCTGGTCCTGAAGATTTGATGTTCATTCATAGTTCAAATGTGTTATTCTTCACATTCTTACGTGTTAATTACTAATATAATGAACCATCCATTTTGCAGCTGCAACAGTAGCTAAAATAAAACATTGAAGCTTTAGTATTGCAAGCTAAATGTTGCTTAAACAGCTATACCTTGCTTTCACAAGAGGCAAATCATTGCAGACTATGAATCGTTTCTCCGTACTTTAACATAGGTTTTGAGAAAGAATAACTCTTATTATATGCAGTTTACTTCATAGGTGTTGGCTGTTTACATATTTATTTCATTTAATCATGTCAACAATTCTATGAAGCTGGTAGCATTATTGTTATATCTAGATTTCACAGTTATTACTGTGGGAAACATTTGAATTCTGTGGATTCAGGAGTTCCCTTGAGTCTGCTAGTCACCTGAAGGTACACGTTTTTACAGTGAGATTTCATGGGCCAGATAATAGCTGACTCCAGTTTCTCTGGTAGGAAATGTTTCAGTATTGAGGTGTGTTTATAAATGTAAAATGAAGAGACTTACTCTGTTATTTTATTTACAGAACTATGGAGATGGGACTCCCTATGACCACATGACCAGCAGGGATCTTGGGTCACATGACAATCTCTCTCCACCTTTTGTCAATTCCAGAATACAAAGTAAGAAAAGTTTTATATTAACATGTGCTTTTGGAAAGCCTGTGTTTTGCCATGGAAGGGGAAATGTGCCTCAGACAGATGTTCAGGTTTTAGGAGTAGGGATAGTCAGTCAGTTTACTATAGTGCTCTTAAGTGATAGAAATACCATTTATAAATAAAAGAATAAAGTGGCTGTGAATGTTGGTGAGCAGAACATCTAGCACTAAGTCTTACAAACATGGAATTAAAGATTTTCAGTCATTCAGGATGTATGTAGACTTTTGTCTTCCTTAAAGTGTCATTTAACAGTAGTTTTCTCAGTATACACTGAAGAAGTCAAAGTGGCAAATATTTGTAATAAAGTGTTTGGCTTCATGATTGACAAAGATGTGTAGTCAGAGAGTAACTCCCTCAAGCTGAACTGTATTGTCTGATTGCGTTTTTGTCAGGGTGTAGACTCTACGTTGACTGTCTAGGTCTGTGTTTCTCAACCTGTAGGTTGTGATCCCTTTGGTATCACACATCAGATATCCTGCATATCAGATACTTATATCATGATTCATAACAGTAGCAAAATTACAGATATGAAGTGGCAGTGAAAATAATTTTATGGTTGGGGTCACCACAACATGAGGAACCATATTAAAGGGTCGCAGCATTAGGAAGGTTGAGAAGCGCGGCTCTGGACAGCCCTCATCCTATATGCCTTTACAGAAGCCGTGTGGCTGCTTGTGGTTTGTGTCTGTCTGCAGATTTCTGTCATGCCCTACATTCTGGCTTTGTTAGCATATTTCTCTGCTTTTGACTACTCAGTCGGGATGTTAACAGCAGTAAACCTGAGCAATGAAAAGATAATTCATAATGGCTTAAAAGGTCCCAGTAGCTGGCTACTTCAGTTTTGATTGAAGACAATGATCTTTGTTCTAGTATAAGTGAGTTCTTCACACTATCAGGAGGTCTTTCAGGTTGGCCAAATTCTATGGCAGATCTGTCGATAAATGAAGTTCAATTTCATGACACAAGCTGTTGGACCATTCTCCAAGGAAAATACTGAGCAATAATTATATTGTACTGAAACTGGAATTGCGCATGCTTTTCAAGAGTGTCCTGGTTTTAAACCTCGGAAGCTTTGCCAGTTACTTAAGATGTTGATGGTCCTTTAATCTCAGTCTTTTTTTTTTTAATTGCCATCAAATCAGGTATTTAACACAAAGTTGTTTTTAATGGATAACATCATGTTTAGCCTTTGAGTGTCTTCTCTGAGTACCACAAGACACTATTTGATCTAGGTTCTTGTTTTTGCTAGGGTTTTTTTTTTTTTTTTTACCTTCAAAATGATAAATTTCGTATTGAAGTTTTAATTTGTAACTAAAGCTGGAGTAGCTCTTTTCAGTTATTGGTGAAAAATACATCAGGCCTTAGCTAACTCAAGATATATGGAAACAGGTGACAAGGTATTTGTCAACTTAGATTTTATTGGACAAGTTTAGACTCTTTGGTGTCTGTAGCCATGATTTTAATACTTGGCTCTTCGCGTCTCTGTTCATTTTTACCTAACTGTGTCAGATAAAGTCAAAGATAAAGTGAAAGAAAGTGATCTGAGAAGTAATGTGGAAAGACTCTCCAGACTTCATTTAGAAAAGCCTAAAGTGATTCTGATGAGCTAAAATGTTACCTAAACTACGTAAAGCACTCCTGTTTAGAAGTTTGGTATGTATGCGAACAAGTTGAAGAGCAGTCTGATGGGTTAATGTTTCAGAACACAGCAAGGTGTACAGCCATGTCACATAGCTGCCCTGCTCCGTGTTTCTTCCTGGACAGATATTTCACAAACTAGTTAAGTGTAAGTGGGCTGACACTCTGGACGTGGTTCTTTCTGCGTGGTTGTTGTTGAAGCTGAAAGCCATGTCAGCTTCTCTCTTTCATCCGTCTGCCTTCCTTCCATTACACTCTGAGTCATGAAGGCCAAGACAGAGTCCCCATTGTGATGAGAAATGCTGCAGTGTGGGCGAGCTCCTGCCCACTGTTCAGTGCAAAGGCTTCTCTGTTAGATAAGCTGTCTGGTCTGGAACATGGCTCTGCATTGTTTACAAACCGCGACATTCTCCACCTCAAGCAGATTTTTGCACAGAAAAGGATTGTGCTTGGGCTAAATGGTTTATCTGACATTAACGGGGCAGTGTCAGACTCGGGTCAAGGAAGTCACCCTCAGAGCGAGAGGTCACTGTGCAGTGTGCAAAGAGACACAAAGAGAGAAAAAGACATTGAAACAAGTATGGAATGCCTTACATTTTTAGTTTAGAGAAGCATTAGAAGATATTTTTAAAGAACTGAGGGTGCTGGGGCCTTGAACAACTTTTCACACCCCTCTCATTTTTCACATCTTGACTGGCTCGCACATCCCATGGCCTGACTCTGGAAGCAAAGATCTTTGAGTTTGCCCAGGTCTGCTGAAATTATCTTTTAAGATGAGCCCATTTGGGTGTTATGCTTTTTTATTTTTATTATTTTAAATAAAAACAGGACATGATTTTCAAAGAGTAAAGACTAGCAATTTGCAAACAGAGATGAAGTAAGGACCCCTTGCCGTCCAGCAGTTTAACTCTTAGAATACAATCATATTGAATCCTGAATGATCATTGTGCTTAGCCTATATTCTAATGCCGTCACCCTTGTGGACATTTCCTTTATACCAAAAGACGCTCTCAGAATCTACTGAAAGCTTTGGGCAGGAGTCCTTTCTAGAATCTTTAACTGGTTTTCATTAAAAGTACAAAAGATTTCTGTATATTTCAAAGACTTCATTTGACCATGTCACATTAGGGTAAAAGCTATAGCATTGGAAATAAATCAGCTACTTTATTGGGGCAGATTCTCTATTGTCAAATCAATCAAGTCTGTGACTGAATTAGGCGTCTGCTACAGAAATAAGTGACACTAATTTTATGGGAAAGAGTTATTAACTGCAGATGACCTGATTTTTTTTCTTTTTGTAAACTGTTTTCTTATGAAGTTTTATTTTATTTCAAAGAAAGGAAAGATTACTGCATCCCTTTTCCTTTCCTGAGTGCATTATTATGCTCTATTTTTTCTTATGGCAATATGCCATTTTAATGACATGATAAAGAATTTGACATGTTTGCCCATAAACTTCTTTATAACAAAGTCTTTATTTTTTTTGATAAGTTTCAACTTTTAGAATTCATATGAATGGTCTTCTATAAATTATAATTTTCATAAAATAAAATTTCTGTGTCATACTAAAATAACACAGTATCAGTCTATTTTGTGTCCTTATCTTAAATTGTGGCCAAATGAGATATAACCGATAAGAATAATAAAAGTGACCGTATTATTTTTCTTTTAGAAATACATTCGTTAACCTGACAGTGATGCCCTGTCTCATGATTGTGAAATCCTAATGCAGATATAGATGAGCGCATGTTTGTGTATACATGAGTGCACACATTCACTCACGTGTGTCTGTTATGTCATGAGGACTAATGGCCCTCCTTGGCTACAGATTATCTTTAGGAGAGGCCTTGTTTAGCTGTGGTTGTCATACGTACAGTTTCATTAGATGTTGCTATGCATACCTGGCAGAGGACATAGAACCAGTCAAAAAGCAAACTTCTGCTAAAAAATGACTATGAATGACTTTGTTTTTGTTTGGCTGTGGGACAGGATTGATAGACTATAGTACACAGGCCAATTAATAACCTCCTCTGGCACTTGACGGTTGCTGTGGACTAACTTCCTGTCTTCCTTGGGGACATAACAGCCAACTTGCCTTAGATATGATCCAATGCGCTGATTTGTATATGGAAGAGACAAACCATGCCTGGTTACTGTGATTTATTAATGATATTTATGTATTCTTTATCTGCTGGAAACTTGTTCACTGTATTTTTGAAGCTGTTAAATTAAACCTTCACAGGTGGTCAGTTGGGTAGCTTTTAGAACATGCTAACAGGACCGAGGGGCATAAGTTTGAGACCCATGTCTTTAAAAATATTATCTATATGGTCTAGAATTGTTTAAAAATCCTGGCATGTAGTGTACAAAAAGAATATAGATTTTTTTCAGAAGTAGTCTGTCTTTAAAAGTTTGTTTCTGTCTAGATTATCATAATAAATTTGGTTTTGCCAAGCTTCAACTTCTTGCAAGTATTGGCTAAGTATTTTGTAATGGTGGATGGTATATTTTGCAACCTCACATCTTTGCCCCAAGGATGGAGGGAAGCATCCATTTTCCTTCCATTGTTCCGGAGTCTCAATAGAAAGCCACAGTGCTGGGGGATCAGGAGCCTGTTGCCCAGGGAGGGTATGCTCATGAACTGGCGAGGGGAGGCCATGAAAAGTGATCCTGTGGAACAGCTGCCTGCAGCATCCCGTCAGCTGCTGCAGCTTGCACATGTCCCAGCGTGAGCGGTTCCCTCTCCTAGCTGCGGTATTTGGGTCTAGTCCTTAGTCATCCTATACCAGGCCAGTGAATAACTCACCAGCAGAGTCACTGGGTTTAAACTAGCTCAGCGGAACATTTTACTGTGGGATTAGTTGGAGGATTCGGGAAGGACCGAAGAAGGCTGCTGGCTTATAGGGTGACCTTTGAGTCTCATCTGGGTTAGCCGTTGGTATTTTGATTTGGTTACTGTGGTCATATTGTGACAGCTGCTGGCTCATTAGAATTCAGTTCCACTCTTCTGTTTGCCTAGCAGGAATATTTAGGTTTCTCTTACTTCAGAGTGTTCCTGGCTACCGTGAGTTTACCCCAGCATAAAGGTGGAGCGCCGAGTTTTCCCACCCCGGTGGCAGAGGCAGGTGACAGAGGAAACTTCTTGTAAAAAGACACATCTGAGAAGATGCTAATGTGGTGTTTCTTTTCGGTGAAACTGGCTTTTATGAGGAAAACTGTTTTTGCACATCTTCATGGGCAAAGGGAAGCGTGACCACAAAGAAACACCATCTTTTCAAAGCATGGCTAGTTTTACTAGCCCACGCAGGCAGATGGGGTTTTTACTA